CCTGGAACCGTTTCAGTCCAAAGTCTTTTGCAAAACGAAAAATCCAAACAGTAAACCCGCCCCAAAAAAAGATTAGAAAAAGAGTGGTACCACCAAAAATCCCCAAAAAGAAAAATAAGGTCCAGATCTCACCGGAGCGTCCTTTTTTCCCCCTGGGCGGCGTCTCTTTGCACCGGGCGGCGTCCTCTGGGTGCAAACTCCGACAATCAGTTTACCTCAAATCTCTGCGGTGATCTGCGGCGCTGGGACAAACTCTGTCCGTGGTTCATCTTTCTTCCTTTATTTTTCGATTTCTTTTTAACGGACAACAAGACAAAATCTCCCGCTGCACAGACCTGTCAGTGCGCGTCTTTCTCACCTGTCGAGCCGCCCGCGCCAATGCACACACCCCTTTTTATTCAAAAATGTTTCCACACCAAAAAAACCCAGCATATTAATTTACATCATCATTTTTTAACCAGTGGAGTTTTGAAATAATTTTATCCAAGACATAACTGTTCTACCAGACAGTATATCATTGGTACAGTTTAAAGTGCTTTATACAAAAGGTGAAAAAATAACATAGTGGTTATGTTACAATTTTATTTCATTTCTTTGGGATGAGAGCAATAATGCAGATTACAGTAGAAGCTAGCCACCCATGCTTTTAACTCTTCTTCTTAAAGTGACAGGCAATCTAATTAATCCTTGGAAAGTTGCTATGATAAGATCCAGACAGGATATTAAAGCGTCTTCTGAGATTGTTTCAAAGGTTTTAATCATTGCTTCATTGGCTGATCAATATGAAAAACGAGCTAATCCATTAAATTTCTTCAGTAATGAGGAATTCATAAACTGAAAGACCAAACATCATTAATGTTAATCTGAAACATCACTCTATATTACTTTAGAACCAGAGAACATTGAATAAACTTCCCCTACATCAAAATCCTATGAATTTCACATGTAAAATTCCAAGTGAAACCCGATTTTCACATATGAATCGCATGTGAAACCCATGTACCAAATCTAAAATTAAAATGTTGCGCATATGCATTCACTTTTAAAAGCATATATAAATAGTGGATAAGGTAAATTCATGTTACGAGTACAGGTGATATACGTGTGATTAAAGTTTTCACATGCGATTCCCATATTTTTCAAAGGTGCTAAAAACATGCTTTGAATTAGAATCACATGTGAAAACATCTTTATCAATTCAATTCAGTTTATTTCAATAGCGCCAAATTCACAACACATGTCATCTCAAGGCACTTTACAGTTCAACCAGATCATACAGTCGGATTGATTTATAGTTTTCTATCTAAGGAAAACCAGCTGATTGCATTGACTCATTGACTCAAATACAATCCCTCACACTAAGCATGCTTGTAGCGACAGTGGAGAGGAAAAACTCCCTTTCAATTCTATGTCAAACCTATGTATCACGTGTAATTAACACGCACACATGGAAAAGCAGATGTATACGGGTGCATTTGAAATGTTTCACATTATAAGCGCATGTTATTCACATGCGCACCACCTTTTTTTTAGAGTTGGTACACATGTGCCTCAAATGTGAAACGGATGTCTCCGTTATTTTCTAATCAACTTTTCACATATATTAATACTGTATAATAAAAGTACATGGAAAGATGTTTAATAATGAACATTATATAATAATACAAAAAAACAAACACAAATACACAAGTACGATCTATGGAAAATAAAACCTGACATGCTGTGCACATTTTAGAAACATCTGAAGTTCCACATTTAATTATGAATTGAACATGAAATACATGAACAACATTTTTGATCATGTGTGGAAAATGCCACCCACATGTGAAAGATGGGAATTATGTGAAACTTGTGGGATTTTTTTCAAATGATATTTTTATGTTTAAAGCTTTAATTTGTAAATTTTTTCTGGTATTGTTTAATTAAAGTAATTATGTAAAAATCATAATCAAAAAGATTAGAACTTACTATTTTTTAAGCAAGTAGAATTTATATTTGGATCAAAACTTTATTAATTTGATACATTTATCAAATGCTCGGAGCGTTTCTGCTCTTCATCCAGACTCTGAGGAAGGGGGGGGCTAACTACAGTGCAGCTGGTCCGTTCACTTTGTTTTGAACCTTTTTTCTGCTGAGGAACATGCTGGGTAAGTTGAATTTTGGGAGTGATTTGGAAGTCAAACTTTCTAGGAGAACATGCTGCTGTTAGTGATTAGAAATGCACGATGCTAAAAGGCAGTTCAGAGATTAACCTGACTCAAAGTAAACATTTAACAGTGTTACAGTTCTTACTGCAGACGTATCTTTGGACTTTTATTAGCAAGATCTGTGCTTTTCAGCATTTATTTCAAATATGAGCCAAGACATTGGTTTGTTCTGTTATATTTGGAGCCCCCTTTACCCCCGGGGACCCAAAATAATACAGCAAAACCCTGTGAGTTTTTAACAGGATGAATTTGGATAATTCTGAGGACCAGAATGTTCACATTCTGGATAAAGAAAATAGGTGGTTTGAGAGGAGCTTGAAGGAAGCCATCTATGTGAAGAGAGAAAAACCAACTTTAAACAGAGGTGGTGGACTCAGATTCCAGCTTCCAAAAACATACAATTCAATCATAGACATGATCCCTTCCAGATATCACCAAACCCCCCACCCCATCACAGAGGAACGAGAGACCTACCCGCTCCAGCCGGTGAACAATACCTCCTTAACGACCAACTCTTAACAATCATAGACAGGTTTCAGGTATTACAGGCTAACGATGGAACCAAACGACCCATTTATCGGTTACCATTGCATGTTTCCAAGTGATACAAGGCTTTGTCTATATAAGACTCAAACTCACTGCAGATCCAGACATTTGAATTGAGAAAGCTTCCTGGAGAGGTGGAGAAACGTCTTCAAATCTTGGAAACCAAGTCCAGTGGATATTTATTTTATTTTTAACGGAATTTGGATGAGATTAAATAAATTCTGCTGTTTAGCTGAAGGACAAAGCTGATACTTACATCCAATGAGCATAACGCAGATGGAGAAGATCTTCTCTGAGTTGGTGTTTGGAGACACGTTACCAAAGCCCACACTGGTCAGACTGCTGAAGGTGAAGTACAGAGCGGTGACATACTTGTCTTTGATGGAAGGTCCTGAACCTGATGAGAGGAAACCGGCAACAAGAACAGATTTGGCATGAAGCAGCATAATCTGATATTCAACAAACTCACTTCTACCATCAGTTACATCAATTAACAGCATCTATTTGTCCAATTAATATTAGCCAGAACCTGGAAGTGATGCATGATAAAAGCTCTAGCTGTAGTTTTAAGATTATTAACAGTGAACTTTCCTTACTTTAACAAAATAACCAATCGCATTCTACTAATACTTTAAGTATTTGTAAAAATATTTTTACAGTCAAACATTAGAAAGTTAATGTAATTAAGCCGGCAATTAAAGAATCGAATAATGTAATAAAGATGGAGGCATTGGAAGTTTTTCTCCAGTTGAATGTCAAAGAACAAAAACCTTTGATAGTGAATCTATGCTGTATTTACTTTCGGGTTCAACGACCTTAATTGTTCACTTCATTCTTCTACCTACTAATCATCGCTCATCTTATCCACCTGCGTCTGTTGCTTTATATTCAGCTCAGCCCAGCTATCAGGGCCAGATCATTGACTGTATTAAGTTTGTGTGTTACTTTGTTTGGGTGAGTTTGGTTATTCCAGAGTTCATGTTCCCATTTTTGGAGGCCAATGATTGTGGAAGTTCTAGTTTTTATCTTGTTGCCTCCTGATCATGTCCTGGCTCTTTCCCGCTGAGCGCTCTCTGTTTCTCTTATGGCTCAGCGGGGTGGAAGCTAGGTTATAGTCCTGTAATCCTGGTTTCTAGGTGGAGTACAGTTTAAAGTTCTGCAGTTATCCTGGTACCATGTCTTGTCTCTGTCCCTCAACCGCTGAGCCTGCCTGTCTGCATCTGAGCGTTTCTTTCTGAGCTCATTGCTCGACTCTTAAAACTCTGAACCTGCCTTGAGGCTCTCGGGATTCCTGGAACCCTGGATCTGTCTGTTCCTGTGTGGATCAGAACCGCTGACTGGGCTGAGGACTCCTGGATTCCAGAACTGTCCTGTCTTATCTGTTTTCACTGACCTGGATGGGATTCCTGCCTGCTCACTGAGGTTGCTGCATTGGGGACATTCTGGGCGGCTCGTTTGGCAGTCCATGGGCTGGATCCTGCCTTCCTCGGAGAGGATGGACTGAACTGTTAAACCAGGTAAGTGACTCACTCTGATAATCATCTCCCGTCAGATGATCGTGGTCAATTACCTGTGTTTCTCCCTCCAGAGTGTCAGTGATTGGGTGGTGCCCCGCCTCCCCCCTGCAGCCGCTTTGGTCCGCAGATCCACAGCTCTCACCTTGAATACCGGGTCCATCTGCCCCGTTTAGGACACTTTGCTAAGCGTACAAGCTAAACTTTTGGCAGGATTCTGATTTCATATGAATGTGGTCTGATTTTAACATTTGAAATTTTACGATCTGAATGAAACCCATTTTTAATGCCCTTACAGGTCATGATGACAACCTGGATAATTTCAGTTTGACCAAATGGTTAAAAAGCTACCAAAGAGTAACATTTATTTCTATGACAAACATTAATATTAATCTCCCCGTCCCATCCTTTGTATTTTTTAAATGGTTTTATTCACTGTTTTGACTTTGTACGGTAACCTCGAGTGTCCAGAAAGGCACCTTTGTAATAAAATGTATTATTATTATTATTTATAACACAAATTGGTCCCTTATTAGCCCTTTCAGTGGCTTTGTGTAAAATCAACATATTTTATTACCAATCAGGAATCTACTTTTGTTAGTTTACCTGGAATCGAGTCATTGAACTGTTTTCCCAGCTGGTCGCCCAGGGTGTGCAGCCAGCCTATTGAACCATTCTTCTCTACATTACCAATGGCATACCTGGAAACAAAAACCCAAACATTATGAATGGACTTTATTTCATTTATCAAAATGAAACATAATTTCTATGTTTTTAAACATTGCTCCTTCTTCTCGGAGCTATCAGAACGTCCTCTACATTCGTACCAGATGCAGGCCAGCCAGTGAGCGATGAGGGCGAAGGTGCACATGAGGAGGAAGAGGACGGCGGCGCCGTACTCCGAGTAGCGGTCCAACTTTCTGGCTACGCGAACCAATCGCAGGAGGCGAGCCGTTTTCAGCAGGCCTATCAGGGTGGTCGTCTACAGTTGGACAAAAGAACAATAACATAGAAATAAAAGAACAGAACAGACATGACATCTCTTTGCTTCAGGATTGAACCTGCTGTCATCCTTTCGATAACAAACACCCATTTACACACAGCGCTGGTGTGGCCAAAGCCATCAACTACATAGGAGGTGCTAAATCTTTACTGCCATTCATCACAGTGAGGAGTCAGCCTCGCCTCGCTGCTTGTACTCAGCGGGTCTCATAGTGTCCATACGACAGATAAATAACAAGCTGATTACTGCGCTGGCAGAGCGCCCACTGCTGCTCTGGGTGTGTGTGTATCTTCAGAGTAAAAACGAGCTCTGTGGTCAGGAAAAGCACGACTTCCTTGGCTCAGGAGGCTCGACTGGACAGCATCAATGAAGACGGTAGGAGCCAAATGTGACAGTATTAGTTTCCCATTTTTAACCTCAGACCAGCAAATAGTTTCCACTCTTTTCTCAATAAACTGCATGAATTCTATTGAGTGACGACTGTTTCATTATGTTGTAAAAAAAAAAAACATTTTGTAAATAGAAATACAGAAATTATAAGTTTTAACTAGTGCTGCACCGATTTGATACCAGTATCTAGCGGGGCTCCGATCCAGCTCTAAAATGATGGTATCGGTATCAGCGAGTACCAACAAATAGAGCACCGATATCATTCTGAGAGGCAAAAGTTTATTCAACTATTGTCACCCATTCCAGGTAGGCAATAAATATGATATATGATTTAGAGTTTTCTCAACAGTTCAGCTTTCTGATGAAGGTGGGGAAGACGCTGTTTCAGAATCTGCTGGATCTGCCTTGAATCTCCACTTATTCCACGAATTTCCAAACAGAGCATTCCACTTAAAAGTATCACTTATACCATCTTCAGATTTAGAGGGGAACCACTTGCATCAGAAGTGGTAAATTTCATTGAAACGGGAACAAAAAATCACCTTGTAGAGGTTGCCATAGGGGATATTGGCTAAAATTGTCCATGGCCGCCCCTGCCCCTATCTAAACTGGTTTTCCTTAGATTGAGAAATTTTAATCAATCTGACTGGATGATCTGGTTGAATTGTAAAGTGCCTTGAGATGACATGTGTTGTGAATTGCTAGCCTCGTGAGACCATCATGATCTCGCGAGCTTTCAAGGTTTCACTCGCAGATCAGTCTGGAGACTCTCCGTTAAAGAAAATTTGGAGCCGTTCACCAAACGAACGTCCAATCAGCGTTGGCTTTGAGGCGGGTTGAGGTGTGATGCAACGAGAAGCGCCACGGTTCAGACTAAAGAATATGGCGGCTTCAGCCGATGAAACTAGCATTAGCGTGGCTATCGAGCAAGTTTTATCGGAAATACAGAGTATTTCTTCACTGAAAGAAGAGCAAAACACTGCTCTGGAGGCTTTTCAGAGGAAAAGATGTTTTTGCTCTTCTCCCGACTGGTTTTGGCAAGAGTAGCCTGGCTTGTGTTTGTGTTTTCGTCGTCGCTCTGTTAGTACGTCATATGCTTCGTTGATCTGATTGGTTTATTTGGCCGGTCTATCACCAACATAGGCCAATCAGCTAACCAGTATTTTCGCCCCTTCCCAAAATGACTTCAACGGAAGGTTTCCAGATGGATATGCGGAGCAAATCCATCTGGCGGAGTCAGGTTAGTGAATTGGGGCTATAGGAATAAACTGAACTGAATCTAGTCACGCCACTGGATGTATTGATGTAGAAAGCTAGCATACCTTAGGGGATGTTTTACAGTAACAAACTTCTATTCTAGAATGCCTGCAGTCTGTGGCCATGGCCCCCCCTGGCCCCTCTTTTAGCTCAGCCCCAGCTTTTAACCAGAGCATGCTTTAACCCTGCTAAGCTGCTTTCTGTTGCAGGTTTCAGTCATTTTCTACTACTATGACCCTATGATTGTCGCATGAAGCTGTTCCTTTTTTCTGCACCATTTACCTCCTCTCCATTGCGGTAGATGAGCAGGTCAAAGGGAATAGCAGCAACCATGTCGATGAGGAACCAGCCTTTGAAATAGTGGACGGCAATACGCACTGGGTGGCTCACCACTTCGTCGTTAGAGTTCACATAAGTCGTCCTGAAGGGGAGAGATGGTTAATATCGCCACTATTCAACTCATCAGACAGCAGCAATCACTAAGATCTCCTCAGCAATTCCAACCTGAAGTTGATGAGGATGTCAATGATGAACATGATGTCTACGATAAGGTCCACCACGTTGAGGGGGGAGCAGGAGTAGCCGCAGTTCTGCTTGGCCGCCTCTTCCTGAGGAAAATGATCCAGAAAGAACAGAGAAAAATACGTTGAAGACAGAAGAAGAGAATTATGAGGCAGTAGAATTAAAAATAGAAGGTGTGTTTTTCTTTAAAGAAGGATTAGCGTTAAAGGCTTTAGGAAAAATTTGCATATTGATCACACAAAAGTATAAAGAAGTCATTCTGCACCATCCAGGACCTGCTGAAAAATACACGACTTTAAAGAGGAAGACTTGAACAAAAACAGATGGTTTTAAACTTCATGTTGCTTCTGGACAGGAGTCTAAACAATGGAACTGAATAAAAACTATTCTATGTTTTCTATTTTATGTTTTGGGATTAAACTTGAGAAGTTTTCATTGATAAAAATCGTAAGAAATAAAGGTGCCTCTCAAGAAATTTGGTTTTGGTTTTAAGTAAAGTTAAATTAAGGTAAGTTACTCTAACTATGCGGATGACACTCAGCTATACATTACAGGGGGGAATTGTTTCACAAAAAAGGTAAAATGCCTCATAAGAGAAATGAAATTTTCTGTCAAGACACTCCAAGTGCCAGTGTTCTGTCAGATGAGCATACCCTGTCAGACCATCATACCTACGTCAATACACTGGAAAAACGCTCCAGAAATAAGTAGAAATTTCTTAAATTAAGTGTATTTACCCTTAATTTGAGTAGTTTGCCAATGGAATGAGTATTTTTACTCTTAAAATGAGATAATTAGATGATATATGCACTTGTAATAAGGCAATGCAATTGTGTTTTCTTATTTTAGGTGTAAATTGTCTTGTTCTATTGGCAAAATATGTCTTTTACCTCATCAATCCAAGCACAAATTCACTTATTTTAAGAAAAAATGACTCATCTGGATTTCCATTTTTTCCAGTATACGCATGTGCAAGACGTCAGATTTGCATTTATCTCTTTAGTTTTGTATGAAAAATAAACGTAAAAGTACATTGACGGGTGTGTATCCCTTTATTCAGATACATGAAAATTATTTAAGGTCAGATCCCTTCATAATAAAAATAGTTTTTTTTCACATGACTAAAGAGATGCATGCCTGTTGAGGTAGTTTAAAGTGTATTTTTCGCACAAAGCTACATGGATAAACGGGTGTTGACAATGGATACGCTTATCTGACAGAACACTGGGTCATCAATGATTTTAATAATCATTGTGATGTGATCAATAAGATATATGGGAGTCCATAAAATACATAAATGTACCATAAAATCGTAACATTACAAGAATAAAGTCGTAACATTACGACAAATAAAGTCGTAACATTAAGAGAATAAAGTTATAATATTACTAGAAAAAAGTTGTAACATTACAAAAATAAAGTCCTAATATTACAAGAATAAAGTTGTAATATTACAAGAATAAAGTCGTAACATTACAAGAATAAAGTTGTAATATTACGAGACTAAAGTCGTAACATTACGAGAATAAAGTCGTAACATTACAAGAATAAAGTCGTAATATTACGAGAATAAAGTCGTAACATTACAAGAATAAAGTCGTAATATTACGAGAATAAAGTCGTAACATTACAAGAATAAAGTCGTAAGATTAAGAGAATAAAGTTATAATATTACTAGAAAAAAAGTTGTAATATTACAAAAATAAAGTCCTAACATCACGAGAAAAATTTGTAACATTACAAGAATAAAGTCGTAATATTACGAGAATAAAGTCGTAACATTACGAGAATAAAGTCGTAACATTACGAGAATAAAGTCGTAAAATTACAAGAATAAAGTCGTAATATTACGAGAATAAAGTCGTAACATTACGAGAATAAAGTCGTAACATTACAAGCATAAATTCGTAACATTACAAGAATAAAGTCGTAACATTACGAGAATAAAGTCGTAACATTACAAGAATAAAGTCGTAACATTAATAAAAATAAGTTTTACTTCTTTATACCCCTTTTTAGACAGATGAGACATTCTAGATAGAATTTGTTTAATCGATTATTGATCATTATAAAATGCACTGATGAACAAATAAAATGCCCCATTAGATAATTAGAAATACATTTTAAATGATGAATTAAATGTCGTTTGAAAAAAAAAAGTGATCCTGATGTTAAGTACTTTGATCTATATAAAATCCATTGAAATCTCTGGCTGTAATGTGATAAAAAGTGATAAAAAACAAACAAACAAAAACAGGTGAAGTGTTATGAATAATTCTCATCCCAGCAACAGTCATTTTCTGAGTAAGCCCTACCGAGTCATTGAGGAGGAAGGCGGCTGAGTAGGGGGTCAGGATGGCAGTGTAGATGACCAGCAGCAGAATGAGCCAGTCCCACACAGCCTTGAAGGGACTGTAGTGCAACACCGTCCACTTGTGGATGCGAGGAGCTTGAAGCTTGTACTCCGGCAACACATCTGCACCCAGAGACAGCACCTGGGTAGACACAGGGGGAGAGAGGAGCCATCAGAGGAAGGGATTATTATAGAGAGAATAGGAGAGAAGCAAAGCACACATCTACTGAACTAACAAATTAGAAAAAACAAAACTAAAAAAGCAGGACAGAGCATATATTTCTCCTTAAAGTGCATTTCAAGCGTTCATTAACTATACATGGGTCCTTGTAGCGTTAATTCAATGAGTACAACAGTGGTTTGCAATTACAGAGTCTGTGTCCACCGAGGATGACGAGAACCATTCTGAAGGCAGCGCCCACCTTAAGGTTACCCTCCTGGGCAGCCATCTCTATGCTCATACACACACGCACATGATGCAGAGCCACAGTAACCGCACGAATAAACTCGATCGCATTAACATAGCTCAGACCATACAGTAATCCTGCACAAGCACAGAAATATTCACACTACTAGTTTAACCAGCTGTTCAGACCAAACTCTCACAAGCAATAGGTGGTAGAATTAGCAAAATATTAAAAACTGCAGCAGCTGAGGGGGAGAAAACAGCCTGTAAATACATACATGTGCTGCACACACAGAAATTAGGGCAACTATTGTTAGACATTTAATTTTAGTTGAGATTTGGCTTGTAAAGTTAAGACAGAGTATTAGGGCCAGGTTAGAGATTATTAAAATTTTTATTTTGAGCATACAGTCATAACATTACTAGAAAAAAAGTTGCAATATTACGAGAATAAAGTTGTAACATTAAGAGAATAAATTATAATTTTACTAGAAAAAAAGTTGTAATATTACGAGAATAAAGTTGTAACTTTATGAAAATAAAGTTGTACACTGCAAAAAAGGAAAATCTATACAAGTGTAATAAACTTGAATTCAGCATTTTTGTCTCATTACACTTGTTTTTCAATGTATTTTCTTAGTAAGACTGAATATTGTTAAGATTATTTGACTTGTTTTAAGAAAATTCACCTTTTTCATCCTAACTAGATAATAAAACTAATTCTGAGCAGCTTTTTTCTTAAAATAGGACACATTGTGGACTGTGTCGCGTTAACATTTAGACTGTGAGTACATTTTTACTTGTTTCAAGACAACAAGACAATTCATATTAACCTGTTTTAAGAACTGACCCCATCTCATTAAGATATTGCAGCTAATCAACTGTGATTGCATTCAAATTGATAGGGCCATTGAGATTGCCATTCATAATTTAGCTTTGAGATTCTGAACCTCACTAATGGATCATTTACTGTTTGCAGAACAAAGTAAACTACAATACATCATAACTACTGTACATCATACATATGCTTATTATAATAGAAGCTCTACCTTAAAAGGGAACACCTTTTTTAAATTTGGCCCCTAATTTTACGTTATTACATCATGCTCTATAAGTTTTGTGTCATTTGGAGCCGTTCTGAAGATATTCTGTCAGGTTATATCCAAGTAAAGTCTTCCTATGGGCAACGACTTGAAGCACAAATTAAACTGTTTATAATTTATTCTTTATGGTACACCAGCAATCATAACGTAGGCGTATCACTGTCCCCCAGACATCCGCGGTTATATTTTTTATATTTTTATCTTTTAAAGACGAAGCGGCGCGTGTATGACGTCATCCGCGTGCGCCGGCTACAGTAGCGTTCTTTCATCCTGTCCGCTGAACTGCTGCTAGTTTTCCACACATGCCTGGAAGATGTCTAGTGCTGTTACCACAGATATTCTCGCTCTCCAAATGGAATTGAACGATTCAGATTAGCTAGAATGAATAGAAGGGGTAGAGCGTAGCGATACTGCTACATCACCATCACTTTATTGTTACCCTGTGCAGCCCTCAGCTTTTTGAGTTTTTTTTGGAGGGGGGGTGTATTTCGTTTAATTCTGTGACATTTCTGCTAAAATGCTAATAAAAGAAACGTGTTAAAGTTTTTGTCAAGTGTATTTTTAGATTCACTACACCAAAATAATGAAATTAATTCTAGGTAAGAAAAACAGACTAGTTTAATACATTGCTTAAAATAAGACAAAAAATCTTATCAAGTAAAAGAAAAAGTAGATTTTTATACTTGATTTAAGTTTTTTTGGATGCTTACTACTCGGATATTATGTTCTTCTTTTAAGAAATCTTACCAAGTCTCATTTGCTTGCTGCACTGGCAGATTATTTTGCTCAGAATAAGCAATTATTTACTTAAGACGGTATATTTTTTTCTTATTTTTTAGAAGGCATTTTTTGTTGTGTAATATTACGAGAATAAAGTTGTAATAGTACGAGAATAAAATCGTAACATTACGAGAATAAAGTCGTAACATTACGAGAATAAAGTTGCAACATTACAAGAATAAAGTCCTAACATTACGAGAATAAAGTCGTAACATTAAGAGAATAAAGTTTTAATATTACTAGAAGAAAAGTTATAACATTACAAAAATAAAGTCCTAACATTACGAGAATAAAGTTGTAATATTATGAGAATAAAGTTGTAACTTTACGAGAATAAAGTTGTAATATTACGAGAATAAAGTTGTAATAGTACGAGAATAAAGACGTAACATTATGAGAATAAAGTTGTAATATTACGAGAATAAAGTCATAACATTACAAGAATAAAGTCGTAACATTACGACAAATAAAGTCATAACAGTAAGAGAATAAAGTTATAATATTACTAGAAAAAAAATGTAACATTACAAAAATAAAGTCCTAACATTACGAGAATAAAGTTGTAATATTACGAGAATAAAGTCGTAACATTACAAGAATAAAGTCATAACATTACGAGAATAAAGTCGTAACATTACAAGAATAAAGTTATAATATTACTAGAAAAAAGTTGTAACATTACAAAAATAAAGTCCTAACATTACGAGAATTAAGTCGTAATATTACGAGAATAAAGTCGTAACATTACAAGAATAAAGTTGTAATATTACGAGAATAAAGTTGTAACATTACGAGAATAAAGTCGTAACATTACAAAAATAAAGTCCTAATATTACGAGAATAAAGTTGTAATATTACAAGAATAAAGTCGTAACATTACAAGAATAAAGTCGTAATATTACGAGAATAAAGTCGTAACATTACAAGAATAAAGTCGTAACATTAAGAGAATAAAGTTATAATATTACTAGAAAAAAAGTTGTAATATTTCGAGAATAAAGTTGTAACTTTACGAGAATAAAGTTGTAATATTACGAGAATAAAGTTGTAACAGTACGAGAATAAAGTCGTAACATTACGAGAATAAAGTCATAACATTACAAGAATAAAGTTGTAATATTACGAGAATAAAGTCGTAACATTATGAAAATAAAGTTGTAATATTATGAGAATAAAGTCGTAACATTAAGAGAATAAAGTTGTAACATTACAAAAATAAAGTCCTAACATTATGAGAATAAAGTCGTAATATTACGAGAATAAAGTCGTAATATTACGAGAATAAAGTCGTAACATTACGAGAATAAAGTTGTAATATTACGAGAATAAAGTTGTAATATTACGAGAATAAAGTCGTAACATTACGAGAATAAAGTTGTAATATTACAAGAATAAAGTCGTAACATTACGAGAATAAAGTTGTAACATTACAAGAATAAAGTCGTAACATTACGACAAATAAAGTCGTAACATTAAGAGAATAAAGGTATAATAATACTTGAAAAAAGTTGTAACATTACAAAAATAAAGTCGTAACATTACGAGAATAAAGTTGTAATATTACGAGAATAAAGTCGTAACATTACAAGAATAAAGTTGTAACATTACAAGAATAAAGTCCTAATATTAGGAGAAAAAAGTTGTAATATTACGAGAATAAATTCGTAACATTACAAGAATAAAGTCGTAATATTACGAGAATAAAGTCGTAACATTACAAGAATAAAGTCGTAACATTACGAGAATAAAGTTGTAATATTATGAGAATAAAGTCGTAACATTACAAGAATAAAGTTGTAATATTACAAGAATAAAGTCGTAACATTACGACAAATAAAGTCGTAACATTAAGAGAATAAAGATATTATAATACTACTAAAAAGTTGTAACATTACAAAAATAAAGTCGTAACATTACGAGAATAAAGTTGTAATATTACGAGAATAAATTCGTAACATTACAAGAATAAAGTCGTAATATTACGAGAATAAAGTCGTAATATTACGAGAATAAAGTCGAAAAATTACAAGAATAAAGTTGTAATATTACGAGTATAAAGTCGTAACATTACGAGAATAAACTCTTAACATTACAACAAATAAAGTCGTAACATTACGAGAATAAAGTCGTAACATTACGACAAATAAAGTCGTAACATTACAAGAATAAAGTTGTAAAATTACAAGAATAAAGTTGTAATATTACGAGAATAAAGTTGTAATATTGCGAGAATAAAGTTGTAATATTGCGAGAATAAAGTCCTAACCTTACGACAAATAAAGTTGTAATATTATGAGAATAAAGTTGTAATATTGCTAGAATAAAGTCGTAACATTATGAATATAAAGTTGTAATAATACAAGAATGAAGTCATCTTATAACAACCCATTTCAGAAAGAAAGCTTCGAGCTCAGACCAGCAGATGACGGCCGACCAGCTGAGTATATATCTGTAATCTTAAACTACATTTAAACTGTTAACTTGCCACAATTTCCACAAACGGTTTAAAATGCCTGAAAAAGCACAAATTATATCAGAAGTTAAATTTGGAGTAGAAATTTCTGCTGATCATCTTTTCGTGAAAGCAAGATGTTATTTGTTTTCCAATGCTTGAGGAGAGGGTGTGGGAAAAATAAGTTTTACTTCTTAATAATCCTTTTTAGACAATATACATAAAACAATGTAATTTCTCTGGCTGTTTATACCAACAGGTTTATTTGGTGGATGGCTTTGTTTCTGTTCATGTTCAGGTGAATTTAGTTAGTTTGAAAATTAGTGTTTGGTATGGTTTGATGTTAAATAGTCACTTTTGTGTATTTGGTTGATTAATTTATTGTTTTTTTTTTTCAAATT